AAAGGTAAACAACCGTTTGTAGGGAAAGTGGTCTCTACTGAAAAAGGATTCTCTTTTCCTTTAATGACCAGGCTCGAGGGCCAGGTGTGGTGGGTGGCACATGCCTTAAATCACAGCATTTGAGAGGCAGGTGGCTCTCTAGATAGTGAGACCTTGTCTGAAATAAGTAAACAAATAAAGCAATTAAAAGGACAAGCAGAGCGAGAAGTCTTCAGGTGAGGCGTGTTGGAAATTGATGAGGGCAATCACTCATAGTTTTGAGCGTTCTGTGAGTTGCACACCCTGCTTTGAATTCCTGCTCTCGGTTGGTTGCTCCCATAAATTAAGGTGACTGTGGCATTTTCATCCATCCAACAGTGGAAGCGTTTATAGAATTGAAGTTCTTAAGGTCTGTCCTGGAACCTGCAAATACTCATTTGGAGTGCTTCTTTCTGAAAAGAGTTGCTGAACACATTGCATGTTCCTCCCATGTTGGGCAGCCGCTGGAGAAACTGGAAGACACCACAGGCAGATCCTAATAACTTTCCAAAGGAAAACCTTCCGGGAACACATTGCCAGGGGACTTCAAAGTCATGGGGTGCTCTAGTGAGACAGGTTAGATATTAGTGAGACAGGTTAGATATTAGCTCTTCATTCTTTGTCGTAAGGCTTCCCCTACAGTATTGACTCATGCCTCCTTGACTCTGACCATCCAGTCTACATGGAGGACTCTGCCTGGGACTCATGACTCTGTCTCTGAATTCTACTGTGTCTGCTTCTTTTTCCTACCCACTTTTCTGATTTTGGTTCTGGGTTTGTTTTCCTTCCTTCCCTTTGACATTTAGTCTTGCTCTAGGCAGAAATGTCCTGTGTGTTTACAGGCAGTAGATGGGCAGTCCCGGCAGCTTCCTTGTGCAGGGATGCGACGCTGCATCAGTAGTAAGTAGAGCTGGCTGTCCTTCCCTGTAGCTTTCAGATCCTCCACCTCTATCCCTCAAACTGCTGGCGCTCTGGAAACTGTAAAGAAAAATTTGGCAAACTTTCTAGAAACATCCTGACTCAGAGAGGCTCTTTGTCTCATGAGTCATTCCAAAATAAATGCTCCTGTTGTGCCAGTGCACCAGGGACAAGGCGGGCGAGACACAGTTCCTGTGAGTCAGGGTAGAGCATGCTCAGCGCTCGCTCCCTGCATGTTCAGCGAGGCTCCTTGAGCTGATCAGCACTCTCGGGTGATGCTGTGGTGCTTGGAGGAGGAGGACTTGTCAGGTGAATGGGAAGCACAAGAACCAAGGTCGCGCTCTTAAGTGCCTCATTTGGAATCCCTTATAGGTGGAGCCTCGGTCTGCTGCAAAGCTTTAGCTAAGGTAGGACATCTGAGATGCCGTGGACGTTGCATAAAAGATTTTGTTCAGCAAATTGTCCCTGTAGCTCAGTCAACGAGGCGGAAGGTGGGTGTCTGCTCTATTGGCTGTATAGTGTGCTGAATGCTATCTATACCACTGAGCCCCAGTGGTGGGAGGGAACCGTCTTCCTGTATTAGTGGAGTAGAGAGGCTTCAGGACCTCTATGTGCCCACATGAAAGCAGCCTTATCCTTTAGCTGTTCATTCAAATAGAGTTCTTGGAAGATGACAGTGTATTTGCTCACCTGTGGCCCTCTTCCTTGGAAATGCCTTTTGGGTGACTCTAGCTTCACTGGTTAGCAGATGCCCGTTGAACTTTCTCTTCTCGGCTTGCCCCATGGAGCTGAACCGTGCAGTGGCTGGGAACCCCATTATGTTTGGGTCTGCGGAGAAGGGTGTACCAGCTCACTAAGGAATACTACTTTCAAGATTTTAAAGCTCAGATCAAGTGACACATTAATAAGAAACTAAGATCTGATTGAGGGACTTTCTAACGGTCCTCACCTTGGGGACACGCTAAAATCTGACTCGGGTGCCTTACCTCTTCTCTAATCTGTTGCTTGTGAGCCTGTAAATGTGGCAGATGTCAACTGGCCTGGCTGGAGGACTCGCTGTACATTAGTTTGCAGTATTCCCTTTCGGGGCTTCATTTTGGGAACTGAGGGCTGTTTTGATGAAGTGCCCATAGCTGATGGATGGTGGAAGTAATTTGAACGTCTGTGAGTTGGAGGTTTCACTCTTTGTTTTAAGATTAAACGCTGGTTGTAGCATTTAAAGAGAAAGCTCTTCTTCATGGTTTGCTAGTATCCTGAGCGTCGTCTTTAGTTGAAATAGGTTAGTAGGAAAGTTACGAAAGCGGTGGCCATGTTACGCTGGTGGTGCAGGCCAGGACCTCCTACCACTCCCAGTTTTTTAACAGGTCCCTCTCCAACAGTAACGAGTTCACTCCTTGGATAAGGGTGTTAATGAGGGAAGCGCCCTCCCGACCTAATCCGCTCTTAATGATCCCAGCTGCCAACACTGTTGCATTGGGGATGAAGTTTCCAACCCATGAACCTGTGGGACAAACTCAAACCATAGCACTGGGCCTGTCACTGAATGATGTGACTGAGTATCACTTCTGTGTAACTGGGATAATAACCCTGACCTACCTCAGTGGGTAGGTTTGAGCACGGCCAGATGCTCTTTATAAAAACACATGGGGATCCTCCGCAGAGTATTTAAGTCCTGCACATTTTTATAGTAACTGTCCACCATGGACGCGACACGTGCCTATGTCCCAGATGACCTTGTTAATCTCCGTCATTCTTTTCCCGAGAGTGAGTGGATGCGTTAGATAATGTATGCCCACTGCTATGAAAACCTGCAGGACGCCATTTCCTTCCTTGGGTGGGAGTTTCCCTTTATCACGTGCAACAGTAGTTCTTTGTGATCTAATAATTCTCATTAATACCAACTCTGAACGTATTTCCGCTCATCTGAGGTTGTGTTTGTTCATAATAAAATGAAATGGATCTGACTGCAGTACGTCTCATGGTGTTTTGGCTGGGGCACAGTCTCCTGGGTCCTGGTCTAGTTCACAGTCCCACCCATGTCCCTTGGATTTAAGAGAGAAGAAGCCACGAGGTTTGAGTCAGACCCCAGTAACCTGCTCTGCCTTTCTGATGTGTAATTCGAGGTTCAGTTCCGGTAACAGGAAACCAGTATTCAGATGGCATTAAATCAAAAACATCACCAGCTGACTCTTTGGCTTGGAGAAGTGCCAGGTTCCCGTGTGTCTCATGGGTAGCTTCTGGGCCTGCTAGTTCACTCTAGTAGCCCGAAGAACCCAGCCATCCCAGGGAGGGTTTTCGTAATGGGCTCTGCTTTCCCTTGTTTTCCTTTAGCCTTTTCTACTTTCTCTGAGGCTACTTGTGTACAAAAAAAAAGAAACACACAAATTGTAGAAGGCCGACTTACCCGCAGGAACTTCTCAGCCAACATCTGGGCTTCCGAGAGTACGCAGAGCCATTACCACCACAGTTCACCTCAGCTGGTCTTTCGCCTTAGTCTAAAGGACTCTTAGAAGGCTGTGGTGCAGGCCTGTAATTGGGCTGCTTGGAGGGTGAGGGAAGAGGACCTCAAAGTTCAAGGCCTGCCAGGCAACCCAGGGAGAATGCCTCAAAATTTAAAGAAGTAAAGGGGAGGGCTAGGAGGTGGGGTGGTAGTGTGGCTTAGTAGTGTGTCTATCATGAGGGAGCCCCTAAGTCAATGAAGGTTCAGTCCCTGGAACTCAGTAAGACTCATTCTGAACACCCAGAAACAGAGATATGTTGAATCTTTGCCAGTCCTTAAGAGCCAGGTCAACTACTACTCCCCTTTCCTTGTTCAAGAAGACAATAATAAATATTGTTTTTTGTGTGTTTTGTGTGAGAGGCTAAAAGTAGGTTAAGATCCTAGCAAGATTAAACCATAAGGCAGGGCAATAATTTCTTAAATATGGTAGAAAAATACAAGCAATGAACGTTTTTAAGTATATGAACCAGGCTTCATCAACACTGAGACTCTGTCTTTCAAAAGGTAGTATCAGGAGATTGAAAAGGCAGATTGGGCTAAGAGCCTAATGTTTAGTATGAAACAAGTGTGTTCTGCTGTTAGCAGGACTGACCCAGATCCTCCTGCCTAGAAGCTATTGCTGAGCTAATACTCCTAGACCCAGAGCAAAGGAACCCTTTACAAGTCAACAAAAAGAAGACAATGAAGATGCAATATAAATATGTAATAATATCTGGTATTAAAATAAGGAATTTGGCCGGGCAGTGGTGACACATGCCTTTAATCCCAGCACTTGGGAAGCAGAGGACAGGTTCCAAAGCTACACAGAAACCCTCAAAAAAACAAAACAGTTGTCTGAATAGACATTTACGAAGAGAAGACCCACACAGGGTGAATGTTGATAACTCTATTACATAATGGTGCGAAAGCAGAAACGGTCCGAAATGCACATTAGCAGATGTCTGGACATCTGGTCTATTCATACAGTGCAGGATTTCTCAACCATAAGAACTGAGTACAAGACAGCAGTTTTCTGAGTCAGACACAAGAGACTATGACTCTATACGAAATGTCTAAAGTAGGCAAATCTAGAGTCAGAAGGCAGATGGGGAGTTACCAGAGGTCAGAGAAGAACGGAAAGTAATGAGCCCTCTTCTGTGGTAAGTAATGAACATTTTCAAGTTAGATGGTTGGACTGATGCCCAGCTCAGCAAATATGTGCTAGAAGTAGGTAATCATAAATTTTATTTTTTTATTTTTGTTTTTCTGAAATAGGGTGTAGCCCCGGTTGTCCTGGAACTCTCTCTGTAAACCAGGCTGACCTCAAACTCAGAGATCACCTGCCTCTGCCTCCTGAGTGCTGGGATTAAAGGTGTGAACCAACATAGCCCTCCCTGGTTTACCATAGCCCTGGAAAAGTGTGATTTTATGGTTTATGGGTCATGTCTGATAGGAAACATTAAATGGGAAGAGTACTTGGTGCTCTTTTGTTCAGAGACTGAGAGTCAAGTGAAAATGTACTAAGAAAGAAAGCACTGGGGAAGTTCATGACTTTGGTCAAAGGACACTACTGTATTCTGTTTAATTCCACAGTGATGTGGTTTCTGATCTCAGACTTCAAAGAAGAACCATGTGACAAAAAGCAGCTGCTATAATGTAGACTCTGAGATGACAGTCTTGCCACATCAAATTACAGTGGTTGAGAAAAGCCAGATACCATCTTTAGAAACAAAAAGGGTTTGCGCCCAACATCAACCCAAATCCAGTGCCTTTTGAAGCTGGACAGTCAATTTCTGAGTTTACTCGGCTGGAAGACGCAGTGGCAATGCAGTCCCATTTCTCTGGTCAGCACTAAGTTAAAGGCTGCATCCCACATCAGAGGCAGGTGATGGGTGGGACCTTCCCATGTGGCAGCTGGGTTCATCAGAAGTTGAGAGTGTAGTGGTGCTTCAGTCTGCTCCACAACACCCAGCTACAGTCACCATCACCCTGCATAAACTTACTTTGTTCTGAAAAAAAAAAATACACAGCTTGGTCTACAAGAGCTAGTTCCAGACAGGCTCCAAAGCTACAGAGAAGCCCCGTCTCACAAAACAAAAACAACAAAAAAGTACAAACCCAGTTTACTCTCCCCTGTGATGGACCTTAGCATTCCACCACACCTGAGTTTTAAGCCTGCCTCTCAGACCATATAAACAATGCTGTCCCATTGTCCCACAGCAACTTCCTTATGCCTTTTTGGTTATATAAAGTTCTGAGCATCTCAAGGGGGAGCTGCTTCTACTGCAAATGTCCCCCTGCACCTCAACCGTGGCAGTCAGTGGTACATGTCACAGGAAGTGGGAGTTCTGTTCTGTGACCTGTACTTAATGTTCTATGCCACCAAGAAAGCACTGACATCTTGAGCAAATGCCGTAAGCCCCAATGATAAGCTCCCAAGGGACTGAGATTCTATCTGTTGCTGGAGGAGAAAGAGCCTCCTCTGATGACAGCCCCTCCCACACTATCCTGCCCAGCCTGCTCTGCCCAGGCAACAGAGAGCTCACAAAAGAGCATTGTATGCGGTGCTGACTCATGGTGATTTTGGTGCTGGGGACATCTAAGAGTCCATTAGCATCTTGGCCATTTCCCACAAGTAACAATGAGTAGTCAGGGCCTGGCCTTAGAAGACTCCTTGAACAAGGAGAGGCAATGAGAGGAAAATGGCAGTGAAAGGCATGGCTGGCCCAGAACCATGCCTGCCTGCATTCTTATGACTTTTCTTTAGAAGTCGAGGGGTGGGGATAAGAATAATTCTCCTCCGAGTCTATTTGTGTTGGTTACACTTGTTAACTGAGGTGGTTTTCTCACCGTAGAAGTTAGGTGCTTTATTTATCTATTAATTTCTTAAGGCTGATGATATAGGTCGAACTCTTGTCATGCATGCAGGATGCCCTGGATTGCATTCCCAACACTGAAAATCAAAACCAAAACCATCCTAACATTGTAAATGCATCATACTGAAGGTCACAAATCCACGGCACATAGTATATTCGTAATATTGGTTTTTTTTTAAAGATTTATTTATTATGTGTATAACATTCTTTTCATGTCTGCCTGCGTGCCAGAAGAGGGCAGCAGATCTCATTACAGATGGTTGTGAGCCACCTTGTGGGTTGCTGGGAATTGAACTCAGGACCTCTGGAAGAGCAGTCAGTGTTCTTAACCTCTGAGCCATCTCTCCAGCCCCTCGTAATATTGTTTAAGCACCATTATCATCATCATCATCTGGTTTTTTTGAGTATTCTTTTAAAAATATATATTTATGTGCATTGGTGTTTTGCCTGCTTGTGTATTTGTATGAGAATGTCAGATCTCCTGGAATTGGAGTTACAATTATGATCTGCCATGTGGTTGCTGAGAACTGAACCCAGGTCCTCTGGAAGAACAGTTAGTGCTCTTAACCCTCGTAACTGCTGAGCCATCTCTCCAGGCACCGTCATGCAGCCTTCTGAGACAAAGTTTTTCTTTGTAGTGCTGGCTGTCTTGGGACTTAGTCTGCAGACAAAGCTATCCCCTGCCTCTGCCTCCCTAGTGCTGGGATTAAAAGTGTTCACCACAGTGCTGGGCCTCTTCATCTTCATCATCCTCACCCCAAAAGGAAACCCCAAGCTCATTCAGACGACTCCTCATAGCTTTCCCACGATAGCAACAACCAATGTGTTGTCTATAGAGCAATTGCTCAGCACACATATTCCAGAAAAATTGTCACACAGCGGGTGTTTGACATCATCCCAGTATGATGTTCTGTGTGTGTCTTTGTAACGGGCCCCCAGACCTTAGCAGGCTCTCAGAATTGAACACACCAGCCATCATGATGAAAGATCACTCAGGCCACAGAACCCAGCAGGAATCCAGCACCTGACAAACAGAAAACAAAGGCCCATCAAAGTCCATCGTTGTGGGACAGTCTCTAAATGTACTGACCTTGCTTTTGGCTTCTGTAGCTCCCCTTCTGATTAGCAGTTCTTGCTGAGGTATGACACAACCAGAGTTTTTGTACTTACAAGTTCACCCTGAAAAAGGTTCAGGGCTACACTGGGAACCACCAGGTATAGTCACCAGCCAGTTAATAATGACTTTCTACCGGCTTAAATCCATATCCAAGTAAGTAGTCTTCTCCAGTAGATACCTGCTGTGATCTAGCTGCCCTCATTCCTTCTGACCAACAGCGGAACTTCCTTGTGGCCTGTAATTGACAAGGATGTTTGTGTTCTTTCTGTTTTCCACAGAAGCAGTAGAGGTATAAAAGGCTTTAGCTCAGGGCAAAATAAAGGTTGCAGTTCTTCCACCTGAAAAGAAGCCCCCATGTCTCAATCCTGGCACTCCCTTCCCCTGCCAGTCTCAGCTATCCAGGCTGAGCCTACAGTGTGGCAGAGACCACATGTCTTCACATTGTGGCATAAATCGTTTTTCAATCCTCTTTTATTATTAACACTCTATTGTATTTGTGGTGACCCCCCCCTCATTTTGAGTACTTTGAAGACTCCACTTGGCACATTCATGTGCAAATATTTTAGCGCCTACTTTCTGTTGATTTGTGTACACAGGAATGGGATTTGTCCTGTGATAATTCTGTTCAATGGTTTGTGGGGTAAGCAGTTTTCAACAGCGGCTGATGAACTCTGCATTTCCACCAGCAATGACAGAGTGTCACCCATGACTCTCCACCATAACATTTGTCACATTTTTCTTTGCCCTTTGGGGTAGAGTGGAAGCTGCGCTTGTACTAGCAGGATTCATTTAGCCAAGGTCTCCAGCCGTACCTCCAGCCTCACCTTTTCCAGACCAGGCAGTGTGGCGACCTCCCTGGATCACTGCCCCCTCCCCCACCCGAGCCACGTGACACCATAAACTGTTACTGTACTGGTAACCTCACTCTATTAAACTCCCAACACAGATTAAGCCGAGGGCCTGAGATAGCAGGAAGCATGCAATGCTTGCTCTCTTTCTCCAGGACTGGCCCTCTGCCAGTGCCCGTCTGCCACTTGACGGAGAGCAAGAAACAGGTTGACGGCTCCTTCCGGGGTTACTCTCGGTCAGTACCCGCTCCCAAGCCCACAGAGCCTGGTCCCTCGCAGCCAATCAGTAGCCGTACCGATCCAACCACGAAGCTCCGCCCCTACAGTCTGCCCCGAGGAGCGCGTGCACTGTGCAGTCACAGATGGAGCCAACGAAGAGCTTTCTAGGGATGCAGTTCCTTGGGCTCTGCAAGGCCAGCCCTGCTCTAGCTCAACCAGTGACCTTGAGAGCGGGCTCTGGTCACTAGCTATGTCCAAGGAGGGAGGTCCTGGCAAAGTAGCGCGCTTTATTGTCGTCTATGCAGTGCAAAAACTTGTGACGCCAGAGGCCCAAGCGCCAGGAGCTAGCAAACAAATCGCAGGTTGGGTCGTGCTTCAGAGGCGAGCACGCTGCAAAGCACAGCGTTAAAGTGTTGTGGAGCTTTCCGTGACATGAAGGGGCGTGGAGTTGGCAGTGGGTGGGAAAAATGCAAGGGGAGAGGTGAGAGTTTGCATTGAGTCTTTGTTTTTGTTTTTCGAGACAGGGTTTCTCTGTAACTTTGGAGCCTGTCCTGGAACTCGCTCTTGTAGACCAGGTTGGCCTCGAACTCACAGAGATCCGTCTGCCTTGCCTCCCAAGTGCTGGGGTTAAAGGTGTGTGCCATCACCGCTCAGCTGCACTGAATCTTATTAGGAGTCAATCCTCAAATATGTTCAAGCAATTCAAGCAAAACAAGGAGTTAATGTGACAGCAGAGGGGACCACATGGGTTGGAAGGCCAAATCCAGGCTTTGGAAAAGTCTGGTGAGGGGTATGGGAATGGAAAAGGTAGGACACGTGGGAAAAGTGGTTTTGGAGCAGAATAGGCTTTCAGTTGATCGATGTGTGAAATGGGTGCAGGGTGGGGCGTATGGACGATGACAGGATTTAACTTGTGTGTCTGCAAGTGCAGCCTCTGTACCAACTAAAATAGTTGAAACAGAAGAAGGCTTGGACTTGGAGTAGGAAGTAAGCATTTAACACGGTAGTGGGAGTATATATCCAGAAATATTATCCAATTGGCGTCTGAGAATCAGGATGTAGGGTTTGGAAGAGATTACATCTATTCCAGGCATGGTGGCTCACGTCTTTAATCCCAGCACTCAGGAGGCAGAGGCAGGTGGATCTCTGTGAGTTCCAGCACAGCCCGGTCTAAAATGTGAATTTCAGGAAATCCAGGGCTACCTACACAGAGAAACCCTGTCTCAAAAAACAAAAACAAACAAACAAACAACAACCCCCCCCCCAAAACAAACAAAAACCAAAAAGAACAAAAAAACAAGAGAGGAGATGAGATCTAAAGAAAAAGCTGGTTACATAGTTTTCATGGAAGAAATTACAGACCAGAAGCAAATGGTCTGGGGAGTTAGAGGCAGGGATGTGTGGGCAGAGGTCTGGCCTGGTTTATGTGGGGCCTGGGTGAACGCTGCCTGCGGAAGTGAAAAGGCACTTGAATACTTGAGATGGTTAGGATAGAGTATTAAATATGAACAAAGATAATGGTTATAGTCACAAAAAATCTGGAAAAGTAAGTACTCTCAAAGAGGTCATAGCAAAATGATGAAATGTCAGAAATCTGTGAGCAAAAACCTAATTTCAGGAAGTGGCAGCAAGACTGAGAATAACAGAATTTAGGACTGGAGAAATGGCTCAGGTCTTGAGAATTTGCTCTTCTTCAGGGCAGTTCAGTTCCCAGCACCAGCTCCTAACTGCCCCCATTCCTGCTCCAGGGAGTCTTACACCACATCTGGCTTTTTCTTCAGCCAGCACACAAGTGGCACACACACACACACACACACCTCTACATCAGATATATACCAAGATATTGGTACAGTAAATTAGATGACATTAATGAATTACTAAGCAAACATTAAAACAGTTTTTAAAGACTTTTCCCCTCCTTTCCTCACAAGACAAGGTCTCACTATGTAACCCTGACTTTTCTGGAACTCACTATGTAGACCAGGCTGGCCTCAAACTCACAGAGATCGGCCTGCCTCTGCCTCCCGAGTGCTGAAATTACCAAGGCCCGGCTGAAGTTAAGTTTTATGGTATCTCAACATTGTTCCTTATTCTCCGGATTGCCTTGGCTATTTGAGATCTTTCATCTTCCATTTGAATGTTGGGATTGTTTTGCTTCTGTGAAAACTGTCATTGGAATTTTGATGTCAGGATTGCACTTGATGCAATGAGAACAGGAGAATTCTGGTAAGCAGAGAGGTTCCTCAGCCACTCCTGCGCAGACCACCGAAGAGGCAGCATGTAACGTGCCCAGCTGAGAAAGGTATGGAGCCATTATGGCTAACATAGATGGGAATAATGGGTTAATATAAGTTATAAGAGTTAACAAGAAGCCTGACCTAATGGGCCAATCAGTTTATAATCTTATGGAGTCTTGTGCGTGATTTTCTTTGTTGCTTGCCGCTGTTGGGGTACCAGGAGGGACAGAAACCCCAACAAGCCGGCCCTCATGTTACATGCACTGAATCTGAAGAACACTTGCTGTGACCATCTTCACAGTGTTAATTTTGCCAATCCGTTAGCATGGCTAGCCTTTCTACCGTGTGTCTCTTTCAACCTCTTCCTCCTCCACAAGTTTGTCCCTGGTGTACAGAAAAGCTGCTGGTTTTTGTATGTTGACTTTGTAATCCTTCTATTTTGTTGAAAGAATTAAGTCAGTTTTCTTGTGGGGTCTTTAGGGTCTTTTAAGTATAGAAACTGTCTATCTTTAAATAGTGATAATTTGACTTCTTTCTTTGTGTCTCTTCTGTTTCTGTTTTACCATGTCTCTAGTGAAGATGCTGGGCACTGTTGAATACCTGCAGAGCGGTGGTATCCGTATCTCATTCCTGGCTTCAGAGGAATGCTCTTAGATTTCCCCACATATATACACACACACTATATATACATACTTTATATATGTATATACATACATACACATACATACATACATATATATGTAATATGTGTATATATATAGTGTTTCTTCTATTCCTGATGTCTGCAGACATTTATCCTGAGGTGGTGTTGAGCCTTGTGACAGGTCTTTTGCATGTATTGAGATGATCATGTGATTTCTGTCTTTAAGTCTATTTATGTGCTATGTCATACTTACTGATTTACCTATGATGAAGCAACCATAAGTTCCCGGAATGAAAACAACTTAACCTTAACGTATGGTCCCTGCCTTCCTGCTTTTTTTTTGGGTGGGGGGTGGTTTGAGACAGAATTTTTCTATGCAGCTCTGGTATCCTGGAACTCGCTTAGTAGACCAGGCTGGTCTCAAACTCACAGGGATCCACCTGCCTCTGCCTCTCAAATGCTGGGATTAAAGGTGTACACCATTGCCCAGCTAGGTTTTGTTTTTTATTTTTTTTATTTTTTATGGTTTATTTAACTTTATTTTATGTGCATTGGTGTGAAGGTGTCAGGTCCCCTGGAACTGGATCTTCAGACAGTTGTGAGCTGCCATGTGGGTGCTGGGAATTGAACTCAGGACCTCTGGAAGAGCAGTCAGTGCTCTTAACCACTGAGCCATCTCTCCAGCCCCACATAATTGTCTTAATGTGCTCTTAAATTTAATTCTCAAGAATTGCATTGAGAATTTTTGTGCCCATGTTCATCAGAAAAAAGTGATTTATGATTTTGATTTTCTTTCTTTTTTGGGGGGAGGGGGTGTTGAAACAGGGTTTCTTTGTGTAGCCTTGGCTGTCCTGGAACTTGATCTGTAAACCAGGCTGGCCTCAAACTCACAGAGATCTGCCTACTACTCAGCTTTCTCTCTCTCTCTCTCTCTCTCTCCCTCCCTCTCTCTCTTTCTTTAATGTGTGTTCTTATCTAATTTTCATATCAAAGTGTTTCTAACTGTATAATGATCTTGGTAATGTTCCTACTCCCTTGTACCATATGAAACAGTTTGAACTTGGTAATGTTCCTACTCCCTTGTACCATATGAAACAGTTTGAGGAACATTGGTATTATACCTTCTTTAAAGATTTGATAGAGCCAGGTGGTTGTGGCACACACCTTTAATCCCAGCACCCAGGAAGCAGAGGCAGGCAGATCTCTGAGTTCAAGGCTAGGGTGTTCTACAAAAGAACATTCCAGGACCAAAGCTGCAGTGAAACCCTGTCTCAAAAAACAAAACAAAACAAAAAATGGATAGAATTCATCAATTAATGCATTTGTCCTAGGTTTTTATTTTTTGGGAGACAAGTCTCAGTTTTGTTGATTGTTATGTGTAGTAATGTGGAGCGGGCTGCGTTCCCGGTGCTCGGCTAGCTTAACCCCGAAATAATCACAGAAACTGTATTCATTTAAGCACTGCCTGGCCCATTAGCTCTAGCCTCTTATTGGCTAACTCTCCCATCTTGATTCAACCCATTTCTAATAATCTGTATGTCACCACAAGCTCGTGGCTTACCAGGAAAGATTCAGCATGTCTGATCTGGCAGCTTCATGGTGGGCAGCTCTCTCTCTGCCTTCTTCCTCCCAGCATCCAGCTCTCTTTTCCCCGCCTGTCTAAGCTTTGCCCTATCAAAAGGCCAAGGCAGTTTTCTTTATTCAACCAATCAAAGCAACACATAGAGAGAAGACCCTCCTATACCAGTTATGAATTTGTTTAAATTGTTTATATCTTTTGATTTAATTTTGTGAGTCATCTATAACTAGGAGTTTATCCATTTCTTAACAGCCTACTAATATATTGCCAATGCTAATAAAACTGAAAATAGTAAAACTACTTTAGAATGTGTTATGAAGTTAAGCTGGGCAGTGGTGATGCACGCCTTTAATCCCAGCACTCCAGAGGCAGAGGCAGGCAGATGTCTGAATTTGAGGCCAGCCTGGTTTATAGAGAGAGTTCCAGGACAGGTTCCAAAGCTACAGAGAAACCCTGTTTCCAAAAACAAAAAATGTGGTGGTTTGAATAAGAATGATCCCCATAGGTTCATATATGTGAATGCTTAGTCACCAGGGAGCAGCACTGTTTGAAAGGATTAGAAGGCTTAGGAGGTGAGGCCTTGTTGGAGGAAGCATGTTACTGGAGGTGAATTTTGAGGTTTCAGCAGCCCATACCAGGCCCAGTCTCTGTCTGTCTGTCTGTCTGTCTGTCTTTCTTCCTCTTGAAAGAATGACAGCCAATGCATTAGTCCAACAGAATAATAAAATCAGCTTATGTGAAGAAGCTTTATTTGGGGGGGCTGGAGAGATGGCTCAGAGGTTAAGAGCATTGCCTGCTCTTCCAAGGGTCCTGAGTTCAATTCCCAGCAACCACATGGTGGCTCACAACCATCTGAACTGATATCTGATGCCCTCTTCTGGACTGCAGACAGACACACAGACAAAATATTGTATACATAATAAATAAATAAATATTTAAAAAAAAAAGAAGAAGCTTTATTTGGGACTATGGTTTCAGAGGTATTGGTTCATTGTCAGCTCCATGGTCTTTAGCCCTTGATAACACAAAACATTATTATGTGATAGAGTCAAGCTCTTGGCTTAATAACATTAGAGTGGTCAGGTGAGTTAGAAACATGTGGTTCTGAGGTTGGCAGCCTCTCAATTATTAAAGATTCCCTGGTAACGGGGAGGGGGGATGCTAATGGATGTGGCCTTGCCCTGTCCTCTGCAGGAGCAGAGTGTGCTCTCAACTGCTGAGTCATCTCTTTAGCCCCACTTACCACTTTTTTTTTTAAAAATAATCTATTTAACTCTATTTTATGTGTTAGTGTGAAGGTATCAGGTCCCCTGGAAGTAGAGTTGCAGACAGTTGTGAGTTGTCATGTAGGCGCTGGGGAATGAACCTGGGTTCTTTGGAAGAGCAGCTGTTGGACTCTAGTGTCCAACCTGAGAAGGAGTCGCCCCCAGAGACCACCTCATACACCACAGCCGATGCAAAAGCATGAGGATTTTATTAATTCTGTCATGACAGGGTCCCTCAGCATTTGGGAAGCCGAGAGACCCTGACTAGCTAGTACAGTCTACTTTTAAAGAAGGCCCCATAGAAACAAGAGGGGTTGTTCCTTGACCATTATGATTGGCTTGTTCGAAAAGGGCTAATACCAATAATTGGCTGGAGAGCTATTGTCAGATCAGATGAGGTAAGAGGTCATTTTGACCCCGTTTCCCAGGGGACTGAGTCAAAACATACGTGCATGGGTAATTGTTCAGGAATTGAGTACGTGCATGTGTAGCTGTTAGGTCCTTGGTTCCCAGGGGAGGAGGGGAAGCACTAAGGCACGAAGGCTGAGAGGGTTCAGAAATGGTTTCAGAATTGTCTTAAAGTCTTACACAGCCAGTGAGTGCTCTTAACTGCTGAGCCTTCTCTCTAGCCTGACAGAGCACTTTTTAAAGACAATATTCTGAGCACTTACTACTGAACATTTATTAAGTTTATGGTTGTCCTCCTTCGTGTGAACAGTTGCCCTGGGTCTTTTCCATTCCATGTTTTTTAAATGAGTATTTTGAACACAGGAGTTTAAAAATATCCTTAGTTCTTGTTATATTCTCTGGCCAGGAACTTACTGAGTAGGCCAGGCTGGCCTCAGAGTCACAGAAATCCAACTGCCTCTGCCTCCCAGGTGCTGAGTAGGATTTAAAGTTTTGTTTTTGAACTCGAGTCTGGCTGTGTAGCCCAGGGTGTCCTCAAATAGATGATCCTGCATCAACCTCCTGACTGCCGGTGTTTGTAAGACTCTCACTCACAGGGCTGACAACGTGTGAGATCTATTTGTTTGACCCAGTTGCTAGTAATCTCTTCCAACTGTGTGTTGGAGGGTTGACCTGCTGCTCTGCGCCTTTCCCCTAAATCAATACAAAACAAACTACTCTTGCTGAGGCAGGAGAGTTCACTATTCCAAGCCAGCCTGAGTAAGTACATAGTGAAGCCCTATGGAAAAACCAGGGCCTGGGGAATGTAGCTCAGTGGTAGAGCACTTGCCTGGCATGCGTGAGGTCACACGTTTGATCCCCCGTGCAGCGAAAAGTACGCACAAACAAAAAACGCAAAAATTGCCATAATTAAAGCTACTAACGAAAATAGTTTCTCAGGAGTGGAAATTTCTGGGTGAAAAGGGTGCCCATATTTGGCTTTATTAGAGGCTGATAGAGTGATCTTCAGAACAGTCAGAGCAACATCCAGGCTCACAGGCGCTGTCCGAGTTCCCATTTCTCCACTTCCTCCCCAGCACTGATTGATGTCATGCTCCTTTCACAACTGCATTCGTAGCTATCTCCAGCTCTCACTTAGGAATCGTGTCAAGCAAATTGTAGTACTCTCTGGTCCCTCATCATAGTCCCCAACTCATTCCTCTTCTCTGGGAAGTGTTTATTGAGAAATTAACGCCTATAAGACATTCTGTAATGAAGCCAGGCAGTAGTGACACATGCCTTTAATCCCAACACTCAGGAGGCAGGTGGATCTCTGTGAGTTCGAGGCCAGCCTGGTCTACAGAGCAAGTTCCAGGATGGGCAAAGATACAGAGAAACCCTGGTTTAAAAAATAAAAAATGAGAGAGAGAGAGAGAGAGAGAGAGAGAGAGAGAGAGAGAGAGAGAGAAATTCTCTAATGAGCTAGAGAAAAAAAGGAAAGGTCAGGGTTCCTGCCGTAAAGGAAACTTATGGTTTATTGATAGGTAAGATGTGCATGCTTGCAAAGAGTTTGTGTGTGTGTGTTTTTTCCAGACAAGGTTTTTCTGTATAGTCCTGGCTGTCCTGAAACTCGCTCTGCAGACCAGGCTGGGCTCAAATTCACAGAGATCCTCCTGCCTCTGCCTCTGCCTCTGCCTCTCGAGTGCTGGGTCTAAAGGTATGCACCACCACACCCAGTGCAAACAGTTCTCAATATACCTGTTAAAATAAAATTGTGAACAAGGCAAAGTGTGTGTGAAAGCAAAAGGAACGGCAGTCCCCCACCATTTGATGAGAGAGGGAGGGGATGGGAGGGGTCAGGGAAGCTTTCACAGAACAAGAAGTTGGACATGCTTGCCCTCATACAGTTTCCTTTGCCTAGAAAAACAGGGGTGTCTATCTCAGGAGACCCGGTGAATGCAAAGCCCCCTGAGTTTGAGCTTCCTTGCCTTGCCCTGGAGCTAGCGAAGACTGTGGAGTCTGTTTGTCTTGGGACTCCAGAGCAGCATCGTTCTGAACAGGGTTTAAGAGTTTGAACCCTGGCATCACACAACTGTGATTAGTTTCTAGCTCTCCTGGGACCATGGACAAATTATTTGATATCTCTGTATCTCAATTTCTCCCTTCTCAAAATGGAATCATAGATCATGGGGAGACTGTAGCAAAAGCTTTTTAAGATAACCTGTGAGAATCGCTCGTTGTTCTTATTCTGCATGCCCATGTTTGCCCCTCTGCTGTCTGGGATTCCTGCCTTTTTCTTATTGGAGACGCCCAAGCTCCAGCCTGGTGGGAGAGTCTTCACACCTCCCTGCTGAAGCAGATGTTCCGGAGGCAGAGGCATAGGGAAGGGATTGGATACTAATATCTGGAGGTGGTTGTCCCCTGTGAAACATGCCCTGTGACTGAGCGTGGGATCAGGCTCTCAGCTCTGAGCATGTGACTGCAGGTGTGAGCTGGTCAGAGCACTCTGGATTTCTGGTGAGCATCCTGAGCAGGTGGGTGGGGAAGAGTCACTGCTGGCCTTTGGTGCTAAGTAAGAAGGCAGGCTGTGCACCTGCTCTTGCCTTGAGATCTGGGGGTGGAGCCCAGTCCCTCCTACAGACACATGTTCACACAGTGCTCCTGGTTGAATGGAAAGAGAAGACGGAATTGTGATGGCTACCAATGAGATGTCCCTATCGTGCGAATACCACATGCACATGGATCAGTCTGGGTTTAGACTTGGTCTTCTCCTATTTTGAGAATGGTTTGTGTACTCTCGGAAGCTTGAGAATTGGACCCCAGCTTCCACCAGGGACCCAGGGGTGAAACCCAGGAGAGAGAAACAAAGGGCCATCTGCCATGGGGACAGCAGATTTCTGGGTGCCAAAGCTGAAAAGACAAAAAAAAAAAAAAAAAAAAAAAGAAACAAACTTCCCTGGCCAAAGTTTGGAAATGGGCTGAAAGTACTGTCTCTCTAGGAACAACGGTATTTCATGACCTCACCTTGGGTGACTGCAAGCTTGGCTGGCTGTCCCCTCCCCTCTTTTGCCTTCAGCCTTCATCTCCTCATGGGACAGCCTTGACTAGTCAGCTCTGAACACCTTATTCCTTGTTGGCAGTCACGATGTGTGTCTGAGCAAATAGCAGACACGTCACCAATGACCAGCTCTACCTACCCTTTAAATCCCAAGCCTGGAGAGGTCCCCACACAGCAGACTGAGTGGTGACACCTGTACACCTAGCCAGGTACACAGCACATGGTCACCTCCCGACTCAACATTCCATCCCATCCTCAGTTGCTGCAGACCTGGATCCCAAACTGCACTCAGAAGCCTTCAGAACAGGATCCAGGCTTCCGGGGAGCCAAGATGACGGCCCACCTGCCACAAGAGGTCAGCTTTTCCCCAGGGATTCCCCACAGCCCAGGATCTTTAGCACGGGTGGAATTCTGCTGAGCAGTTTGTAGGGACCAGCGCTGAGAGCGGCAGAGGCATCTTGAACATCTTTTTGGATTTGCCTGACCTTCCGAGTGAGGAATGTGGAGTTTATTTTGGCAGTTGACTGTGAAGAGAAACCCCAGTCAGCCAGTATCTTTCTGCACACTTGTGCATTTCCCTTTATCTGTTGCTTGAGGCAAATGTTTTACCCACACTCCTGCCCTCTCACCTTGAGGTTTTATTGTCAACATATTTTGTGTAGTTTCTAGGGACTTTTTCCTGCTCCACCTAGGGGTGTAGCCAATCTTCATATGATCTGGGCACTGGGGCAAGGGTCTGTGCCTCTACTGTTTTGGCTGTATTACAGGGGAGGTAGATCCCGTGGTACCCTCATGTACCTGTTCTTGGCTCTCCACTCTCTCTCTTTGAAGATCTCCAGCAACTGTGGCTCTACCACCATCATAGAACCTCCCCGCTGGGGTCAGCAGAGCGGAGAAGAGAAAGTAGATAAGATGCCCCTCCACCCAGAAGACATCCGTCCTGAGCTGAAAGAAGATATATACGACCCCAGTTACCAGGATGAGGAGGGGCCCCCGCCCAAGCTGCAGTACGTCTGGAGAAACATCATCCTCATGGTCCTGCTGCACTTGGGGGCCCTGTATGGGATCACACTGATTCCCTCCTGCAAGGTCTACACCTGGCTCCTGGGTAATCGCTCCAAACCCTCCGTCCTGAGCCAGTACCCCAGCTTTCTCCCATTTTTTGAATGACGTAGATTCTGACCCATAAAATTAGCCTCTCTCTATCTTGATTTTTTTCTGAACCTTCTCTTTATTTCCTGAGATACTGGTAACTGGACTGGGAACAGAGCTTCATGGGATTAGGATGCAAAGTGTCAGTTCTAGGGGTCCTTGAACATGGATGTGAAAGCCTATGAAGGGTGGAGGGACAAACACACGGCAAAGAATTGGCAGTCTCTGAAAGAGCTTTTCTGTTCAAAACGCTTCCTGTCTCAGCATTGCCTGCCACAAGAAAACTAAGGCTTTTGCTGGGAGCACGATGAGCGGCCCCATGGGTTGTTCGCTTAGTCAGGAGACAGAGCAAGGGGAGACTGTTCAGAGGGTTGAAGAGGAAGAACTAGAAAGGAATAACCCACAAAAAAACTGTACATGATTCTGGACACATCAGACTTCTTGGACCCAGGGGAAGGTGAGGCAGCCTCCATACAGTCTGAGTGCATGGGGGTGTGGCTCTGGCACTCCAGGTAGGTCCTGTCAGTCAATGAGATATTCCTCAAAAGAAAAAAGAGGGTTCAGAAAGGGTTCTTTGCATTCCGCGGGTAGTTAGTTCCTGTCCTGTCTCCGGAGACCATGACAAAGGGCCAAGAACCTTCTAACCTTAGTTACCAGCCAGGCACAGAGAACAGAGTCTTGAGAAACCCTGATGGTGGTCAGGCTGCTGTAACAAGAGAGATAGTTGCTACTGCGTCCCTTGCCTGCTAGCTCAACCACTCAGGGATCCATGGGTGTGGGCTGATGCGGGGCTGTCCCGGGACACACACCTGTGCTTTCAGGTGGTTTAACTTCTGACTCCTGATTCCCCGATCAGGAAGAGGGGACAGGGCTGTGCAGGCCAGGGCCCCTAACTATTCTTTGAGAAATGGTGCATCAAGGGTCCCCCTCTGGAAGACACAGGACTTTCTGGTAGCTGTCTCTAGGAGGGTAGTGATGTAGAAGTGGCTGTCCCTGCTCTTGACCTCTTAGTGCCTCCAGCAGGTGAGCTCAGGTCCTTGGAGCTTCATCTCGGTAGTTCTGTGGGTGCTAGGGAAATACAAGAGGGGTACCGTTTTCAGGGCCATAGCTTTTCCAGGTACTAAATGGAAACAACAATGCTTTGTCATGTTTAGGAAGGTCATGTTCTTTAGGTTGTGTGTTTTCCCAGCCTTTCTCCTAAGTCGGCTACTTTGAGAGCCTTCTCTCCTGCAGGGATGTTACCCTGGAAGGCTAAAGGGGAAAACCCTCCAGACCACTATGGCCTCAAACAGTCCTTCCCGGGGGCGGGGGGTCACTGAACTAATCTATTTGAACCGAGCTGTCTATCTGACAGTCAAGGGGTTGAGAAGGACAGGCCACACAGTGTTTGGGGTCTTGTACAAGTGTTGGTCCCCTTGTACTTACTGCTTGTGCTTGCAAAGCCAATGTACGGGAGACACTTGTGACATGAACTAACAGGGGCCCTTTTGAGCTCTGAATCACAGAACTCTGGCTTGTCTGCAGGTCAGGGTCAGATCATACACGTGGATGTGGGAAGAGCTCCATCTAAACACAGCCAGAGCAGTCAGTCATTTGGGCCTGGTCCCAACTCAGAGGGACTGTGACCAGAACCTTCCTTAGCAGCATACTGGCTCAGTGATCTTTGTGGTGACCCCAAGAAGGAATGGGATGCAGCAGGAGAGAGGAAAGGCTGTTTGGGAGACTGTTATTTCTTGGTCTAGAAGGACACAGACAGTTTATACGTTGTAGGGTGACTTCAGCCTGAACTACGTATGCTTCATGGCTCTAAGGAACCTTGGTTTCCAGCTGCCCACAGGAGTGAAGCACTGTTGAACGTCTCCTCCAAGCCCCCATGGGGACAGCCTTAGTCAGGGGACAGAGCAAGGGGGGGACTGCTTCTTTCCCTATTAACAATTGTACCTTCTAAGCCTTTGACTTCAAAGATGGTGAGATAGGACATGGTACCCATCCTTAGACCATGACACAGATATAACAGAGTTGACTTGCCCTACTATGGGCGCCACCAATGTTACCCAGCATTATACTGGCAGTGAGCATCCAGACTGACAGAGAAACATGGCAAAGGAGGGTTTGGAATCTCGGCATGGTTTTTAGGGGCTGGATGGCACAGCTGGAACAGTGCCTTATTATCAGAAAACTGAGTTTCAGCCGATGGCTACAGTTTGCCATAGTGAGATTCTGGGTAAACATTTAGTCTTTTCTTTCTTTCTTTTTTAAAGATATTTATTTACTTATTTATTTATTATGTATACAATATTCCGTCTGTGTGTATGCCTGCAGGCCAGAAGAGGGCACCATACCCCATTATGAGATGATTGTGAGCCACCAAGTGGTTGCTGGGAATTGAACTCAGGACCTTTGGAAGAACAGGCAATGCTCTTAACCTCTGAGCTATCTCTCCAGCCCCAACATTTAGCCTTTTCCGTGGTCTACTTCTTCAAGATGCAGAAGTGATCACAGCCACCTCCCAAGGAGTGCAGTAATTGTGAAAATATTAATATTTTTGGTGATGCTCAGGTCACTGTGAAAACATAGCTCTTTGTAGGACTGACTCATCCTGATATGGGCATGTTGCCTGCCATTGTATTGAAATGCTGTTGTCTGAGCTGATGAATTGGCACAGGCCTGTGATCTCTCAGTATCTCTTCATATTTGGGGTTGTTGTAATTGATCAAACTGAATTGCTCTGATTTCTGTTTTTCAAGGCACTGGGGGACTAGTCTGCGGCCCTGAACAACTTAGAGGAAGGGTTCAGGGGTACAACCCCTGCAGACAGACAGTGAGAGTCCTGTTGCCCGTCTTGATTCCTTTTTTCATTTCTGGGGCTTCCGAGCTTTCCTCCATCTCTAGATAGAGGAATTGGGCCATAGTGTTTGAAGCCACAAGATAACAAGGCCAAGGCATGCCAAGGTTCAGGGAAAAGGATCTTCACTAACTTCTGAAGAAATAGCAGACTAGAGAGTCAGGAAAGGGTCCTTCCACCCTAGGCCTGATAGAACCCGCAATGATTGGTGACTTACCTGCTTTCTCCTGACAGTAATATTCTACAATGTAGTTGCTGGTTTGGGCATCACAGCTGGGGCTCATCGCCTGTGGAGCCACCGAACCTATAAAGCACGGCTGCCCCTGAGGCTCTTCCTCATCCTGGCCAACACCATGGCTTTCCAGGTAAGAAGCTGGTAGAAGTTCCACGTCTCAGAGTCAGCAGGATGGGAGACAGGAATTAACTGGAAAACTTTCCAGGTCACTGTGTTCCCCAAGTTCCCCATGTAACATATGGTCTGGGTTGCTCTGCTGGGGTTGGTCCGCTTAACTTACCAGCTATGGCTCATCAGCCAACCACTGACATTGGTTTCTTTGTTGGTTGTTTGGTTTGGTTTGGTGTTTTGAGACAGCGTTTCTCTGTGTAGCCCCAGCTATCCTGGAACTTGTCATGTAGACCTGCAGGAGATTCACCTGCCTCTGCCTCCCAAGTGCTGGGATTAAAGGCGTGTGCCACCACCACCTAGCTTGACTCAGGTTTTGTTAATACTCGGTGAGCAAGCCATTCATGCTGTGTCTATCTCAGGAGTCAAGTGGGAGCAAAAGTGATACATCACAGGCTTGGGGACTGCTGCAGATGTGAAGAATACGTCAGGGCAGGCAGAGTACTTGGCCTTCTCACACAGATGAGCTTGTCAAGTCCTTAAAATGTCTTCTTAGGAGGTTGAGCCCCACTTTGTACTTGGACACTAGGAATCCGGACAGGGAAACACTGTGGTCCTATGAATGACTGTCGTGCTGGGTAAGCCAACTGTCGAAGCTTGCCGAGGCAAAGCTATAACAGAAACAAGGGAAAGGATCGGGGGCCTGACTTTGCTATTAGACTCCAGCAGGGGACTCAGGATAGCTGTGGCATGGGGCTTAATCCCAATGAGAGGAAATCGAATCAGTCCCTGGCTTGGCGAGACTTGAGTTTCTCAATTCGAGTACCTAACAAAGTATTCCTCAAAGGCCCCTGATGTTCTGGGGGGACAGCACTGAAATAGAGACGCTGGCGCATTTGTGAAGGGATGGAAGGAGTCACACATGAGCCAGAGGTCATTTGGGAAAGGCTCATGAGTTATACAGGCCCTGGCGCCGGCTTGGGTGAGTTGTCAGTCGTAAGGGCATCGGGAAGAATATCCCTGTACCTCTGTGATGGAGCAGCATCCTGGGATGCCAGGGCACTTGTCTCAGTCTCTGGACCCAGTGCTCAGTATTCCATAAGAGCTTGTCTCACGTTCTTCTTCAAGAGCTAGCATTCCCAGCCTGCCTCTCTGGGCTTGCGGTCTTCTTTGCTGCTCTCCTCTCTGTCTCCCCATCACACAACCAAAGGAAGCAGCAGTGTGATTCCTGGGGCTGGAACTGTAAGTTGCTTTCTTCCATAAGCTTCAGGGGCAAATATGCAGAGGACAGTGTTCCTCAAGGCCTCCTTTAGGCCCGAGTCCTGGGGACTTTGTGAGGTGAGGGTCTTGAGTCCTTGCAACCTCCAGGAGGGCGTCTCTTCTCAATACTGGGGTTCTCTTTCCTGTCCCCTCAGAATGATGTGTATGAGTGGGCCCGAGATCACCGTGTCCATCACAAGTTCTCAGAAACATACGCTGACCCTCACAATTCCCGGCGTGGCTTTTTCTTCTCTCACGTGGGCTGGCTGCTCGTGCGCAAACACCCGGCTGTCAAAGAGAAGGGCGGAAAACTGGACATGTCTGACCTAAAAGCCGAGAAGCTGGTCATGTTCCAGAGAAGGTGAGTCAGGGTGGGAGGGTGGAGCCAGGGCATCTGGGGTTTAGGGACCCTGCTTTTTCTATCAGAACACATAAAAAGAGCTGAAGGATTTTGCTCAGTGTGCATACTGACCATCGTTCTGAAACACAATTCTCAAATGTCCCACAAGCCCACAATCAGGGAATGTTGCTTTTTCCTTTCTCGCTGAGGTATTTCCATGAAACAAATTGAATGTGCCAAATGTTCATTGACTCAGAATAATAATGAACACAATCGCAGAAATAATGGAGCCCTTTGGTTCGAAAGGCCCGTAGCCTAGGCAGGTATGCAAATAACCGGAAGCAAGGCAGAATACTATCCATAGTGTGAAAGGTTCATGGGCCAAGACTGCTTAGTAGGGACGCAAGGGAAGAGTTGCTAGAAAAAGCAGCCTCACCAGCAGCGACGATTCTGACATTTGCGTGAGGACAGAAACAGCATACCCAGTGCACAAGACCAGCTAAAGCTTGAGACTAGAAACACGGGCCTTCTCCTGGAAGGAGCGCTCTTGTCATCATGTGGCAGAGATATGCTTCAGAGGGGCTGCCCCAATACTGATGAAAGTAGCCCTTAGTTGACAGGTGAAGGTCAGGGAAACAGGTTAGCCGTGGAAGCCCAAGGCCAGGAAAGCAGAGGTAAGAGTGGAAAGGGAGAGATCTGGATGCAAATGATATAGAAGAAGTTGAACATGAGACCGCTTAACAGGTATCCATCAATTCCCTTGGGATGTCAGTGGTTTAGAGTGAAGAGTGAGTAAAGTCTCCAAAGGGACAGAGAGGCCAGTGGTGGCACATGCACTCGGGAGGCAGAGGCAGGAGGATCTCTGTGAGTTCGAGGCCAGCCTGGTCTGTAGAGTGAGTTCCAGGACAGGCTCCAAAGCTACAGAGAAACCCTGTCTCTGTAGTAAACTCTAGAAAAACCAAACCAAACCAACCAACCAAACAGAAATCAACAAAACAAAGGGACAGGGAGCTGCAGGTGGTCGAGGGCCCTCAGTTTGCCTCCTGAAAAGCAGAGCAAAGATCTGGGGGTGGTAGCAGGAAAGGAACACTTGTCACACATTCTGTGTCAAAGGTGGAGGTGGACACAAACAACTGGGCAAGAACCCAGGCAGTGGAACTTAGCAGATGAGTTTATGGCTTCAGCCTGACTTGTTTGGCCAACATGTCTTTACACTTTGTCAAAATAAACAATGGACTTCTAGTCAACAGACCCATGGCCTAAGCCATGTTCCACTAATGTTCCTTATCTAAAGACAAGGCTGGAGAGATGACTGGCGGGGGGGGGGACACCCACAGGCCCACCTGGCACCTCAAGGTCTGAGCTGGCTGCAGATACCCACAGCCCATGTACTGAGTCTTTTTTCTGTCCCATCAGTCAACTCCCCAGGAATGACATGGAGACATCCAGTTGAGTATGAAAGCTGGGCCTATAGCTTAAGCTCTTCTAACTTAACCCTTGTATTTTTTTAAATATTTATTTATTTATTATGTATACAATATTCTGTCTGTGTGTGCGTGCCTGCAGGCCAGAAGAGGAGACTCCATTACAGATGGTTGTGAGCCACCATGTGGTTGCTGGGAATTGAACTCAGGACCTTTGGAAGAGCAAGCAATGCTCTCAACCTCTGAGCCATCTCTCCAGCCCCCTTAACCCACGTATTTTAATCTATGTTCTATCACGTGGCATTACCTCTCTTCCATCTCGTACCTCCTGTTGCTTCTCCACATCTCCTGGTGTCTCTCGTGTGCTTAGATTCCGCCTCCTCTTCCTTTCTCTCCCCAGAAATCCTGCATATACCTCCTGCCTAGTTATTGGCCATTCAGATTTTTATTAAATGAATCAGAAGGTGCCTTAGGCAGAGCCACATCCTTAAAGTGTAAACTAATATTCCCCAACAGCCTAGCTGGTCTGGCTTGGCCCGGGTAGGTGGAAGACTGGAGAGATGCCGCAATGGCTTGGGTCCTTTTAGAGGACCCAAGCTCAATTTCCAGCACGCACATGATTCACTACTTGTAAATCCAGTTCTAGGGGATGCAGTGACTTCTGACCTCTTTGGGTACATGCCCATATGTGATACAGGCAGGCAAAGCACTCATATACACTATATATTTATGTGTGTATATAGAGTGAGATAACATATATCCCTCCTGTATTCATAGTGTAGGAGAAAAGACAGCCCAGCCCAGTGAACGTAGACCTCTCAAGTGTGCTTGCGGCCCCTCTCCACAGACTCAGTGTGTGGTCTCTCCCAATAGGTACTATAAGCCAGCTGTCCTGTTCATCTGCTTCATCCTGCCCACACTGGTGCCCTGGTACTTCTGGGGTGAAACTTTTCAGCACAGCTTATACATCGCTACTTTCCTGCGGTATACTGCAGTACTCAATTTCAGCTGGCTGGTGAACAGTGCTGCCCATCTCTATGGATACCGGCCATATGACAGGAACTTTGGCGCCCGAGAGAACATCCTAGTTTCACTGGTATCTTTGGGTAAGTCATCAACTCACCTGGAGACTACATGAGGTGGGTTATTGATTAGAGCATTAAGGCTAAGACAGAGACACTGGATTATAACTTCTATGATTACTTAGGATCTCGGGTTACTACTCTAAAATGAAGGCTAATCCGTTGGTTTCAAGTTTCCAACCATCACTAATTGAGACTCAGTTCCTTTAACGCCTCCTTTTCCAGTCATTTCTGAGTTAGGTTGCATCTTACTGGGGGGCAGCAGATGCGTGAATGGAACAGTACCATCAATGGAGAGTGAAGCTTTCTGTATGTAGGCCTGCTGCATATGTAGGAAAAAATAAAGGTAACCTTGTTCCGTCAACCTCAGCTGTGCCCCTCTACATTTCCCGAAGCTCCCTCTAGCTTCCAGGCGCTTTCCGTTGTATATTGTCTTATTTGATCTGTGTTGGAAAACAAAAACAAAAACTTACTCTACACAATTCTGAGATTCCCATAGAAATGGCATACGATGCGAAATACGCATCCTATCAGAAATAGGCTGATATATGTCCTGTACTGGTAAGCAGGGTCAATACAGTGAGTTTCCCCAACTCCAGTCATTATGAGCTCAGAGTTACTGCCAGGCTCTTGCTTAGTGTCTGTTGTTATTCTCCTCTCTAAATCCGCTCCTATCCCTCTCACCTCACCCTCGACAGCTCTAATCTTTTTGTTTTATTTAATTACCTGTCCCATAGTCATAGGCTCGTGTTCTTTGACAAAGATGACCATTCTCCATAACTTTCTTCAGCTATCTCTTCCTGTCCCAGCTGTTCCCATACAGCTAGCCTCCTTTTCCTCTCCAGAGACTCCGTGTGTGTGTGGGGGGGGGGGGGAGGGAGAGGGAAGGAGACTCTGTTTTGCCTGTGTGTATAAGGTATATACCATGTACATGTGGTACCTCTAGAATTTAGAAGAGGGTGTTAGATCTCCTGGAACTGGACCCACAGATGGTTTTGAGCTACCGTTAGAGTGCCAAGAACTGGATCACAGTCCTCTGCAAGAGCAGAGAGTGCCCTTACCTGCTGAGCCTCTCTCCAGACCCTGGGCTTATTTTTCTCAACTTAAAAATGCTTTAATTAGTGTGTATTAATTACATGTAATGACAGGTGACATTTTCATGCGTGTGCATGGTTTCCACCATTTAATCCGTCCTCCTACTTTAATATCTTTTGCGTGTTTTATTTCCCGGGGCACTTGGGAACACAGGCTGAGGGTTTCTTTCCTGAAGCACGGACACTGGCAGGTGACTACCCCACTGTACCTCCTCAATCATTAACTGCGTATAAGTCCTCAGGGAGGGATGGCGCCCCAGGAGCCCTTCCGCTTGCCATGTTGGAATGTTGCCAAGCTCAGGCTTGTCCAGCTCTTGGTTAAATCACAGATGCCGTGAGTTTGAGATTACCACAGTCATCCATGCCCAGAAGTCGGTATTCCACAGCGTCTCCTCCTTTGCCCACCACTTCCTCTGGTTCTTATCATTCTTTCCACTCTTCTGACTTCCTCTAGGGTTGCTTTTATTTTTGGGGATTCAATGGCTTTTCTTGGTCACTGTCTCCCTCACCTGAAAAGGTTTAGTATTGTTGGGATTAGTTCAGAAAGAAGAGCCATGCAGAGAACAGGAAAACACCACACGAATTACAGAGATAATTTCAAATCCAGAATTTCTGTTCTCCTTTATCCTGCAAGATGCCCATCCTAGGAGTTTCTGAATCTCAAGTGTTAGAATGTCCGAATGCTTTCAGAGTTCCATTTTCTTAATGCCTCCCCTACCCCAAGGTCAAAGCTCAGAGGAATAGCAGTCAGAGCAGTATCCAGTGAGCCGGGGTGGCTGAGGAAACTTCCGTCATTGGCCAGGACTCCTTCCTGGTAAATTTTGGTACCCGCTGTCCACCCTTTGGAACCTCTACCCTTCCAGAGAACAGCAGTTCACGGGGAACAGTATGACTCACTCCATCTAAGAAGCGTAGCTACAATGGTCTCCTCTCCTCTGCCCTGTCCTAGCCACAGGCACTCACATGCAGACCCCTTGGGCCCTCTCTCCTGAGGCTCTGATACTTTCCACCATAAAATCTGTTCGCACAGACCTGGCTCCTCTCCCATCTTTTTATCTTATGATAGAAACTTCCTCTGGCAAAGGCTCCCAGACAGGTAAGTGTGAGCAGAGCCTGTCAGTTGCTTTCCTGAGATTCCTCTGAGGGCATCTGTTCACTTTAGAATACAAGACTGTGGGTTCATCTGTTCACTCAACAGTGAGCTTCTTCAAGGTTTGAGGTACACAACAGGTCAGAGGTATGCGAAGATCAGGAGGCAGCAGTCACCAAGCCCCCTAACTGCTCCCTATGCTTTTCTTCCAGGCGAGGGCTTCCACAACTACCACCACGCCTTCCCCTACGACTACTCTGCCAGTGAGTACCGCTGGCACGTCAACTTCACGACATTCTTCATCGACTGCATGGCTGCCCTGGGCCTGGCTTACGACCGGAAGAAAGTATCTAAGGCCACTGTCTTGGCCAGGATGAAAAGAATTGGAGATGGGAGTCGCAAAAGTAGCTGAGTTTGGGGTCATCTGGGTCTCTGTTCAATAGACCAGCTGGGCCAACATTGAGTGTTCTGTTAACTACTGAATAGTGCTACCAAAGCTCACTCCTGAACAATTATGGGGGGGGTAGTGGCTGTTCTGTCTCTTTAAGAGACAGGCCACGCCCACTCCCTCCCCCATTTGCTGAGGCAGGCTGATCTTCAGCTTCTGGCCTGAGCTCTCTCTTGTCCCTCTCTCGAAGAGGCAGCTTCTGCCTCTCTCCCCACTTCTCCTCTTCCTCCCCTTCTCTGTCTCTCTCTTCTCTCCCCCCCTCTCGTCTCGCTTTCTCTCCTCTCCTCCCCTTTTCCCTTCCCCTCCATAACCCACCTAATAAATGTCCAACTCCACTCTGTATGGTGTGCCTATCCGTCTCTCTCTTGCCTGCCCCCACCGCCACATGGAGATACACTGCATGGTCTCAATGCGCCGTCCCTGGTCCCTGCCCGGCCGGGGACCAGTCACCTTCGGAGACCTGGTGTAGCCTCATGCGCAGTCCCTGCCTAGGACCAGCTGCTCCCGCTGCCCACTGCCCGCTGCTGGGGATCCACTGTCTGCTGCTGCCGGGATCCTGCAGCAAGCTGCTGGGGACTCGCAGCACATACATTTCAGGGGTTAGGGTCTCTCTCTGATCTATTGAGCTCTATAGACCAGGCTGGCCTCCTGTCTCCACCTCCCAATTGCTGGGATTAAAGGCAAGTGTCACCATGTCCAGCTCTGCAAAATATTCTTGTCAAATATTCAAGGCAATTCTGCTTTGTGATGCTAAGCTACAGATCTCTATCTCTTTCTCCCTCCCTCCCTCTCTCTTTCTCCTTTTCTCTCCCTCTCTCCTCTCTTTCCCCCTCTCCCTCTCTCCCCCTCTCTCCTCTCTCTCTCCCTCTCTCTCCCCCTCCCTCCTCTCTCTCTCCCTCTCTCTCCCACTTTCATCCCTTATGCTTTGTCCCCATTATGCTTGTCTGTCTTTTCCCCTTCACTGCTTTCTTGAGAAGCAGCTGGTGAGTGCTTGATTCATCTTCCAAAGGCTTCACAGCCTTTCTGATGTCTCAATGTAAGGCAGTTCTCTGTCTAGGTATTTTCCCAAAGCTAGTGATACAACAAAACCTTTTAGGAAGGGTCTTGTTAATTGTTTTCAGGTCACATTTCACTAAAGGAAAGAGAAGCATATGATTTGTCATAGAGGTGCCAAAACTGAGAGTCACAGTGGGAAAGCGTGCAAAGTGTGACTCAAAAGCAGGGATGGGCAAGGTGGGCAGTAAAGCAATAGAAGCACTTGCCAAAATCAGTCCCAGCTCCCTAGCTCCCCAGCTCCCACAGATGTGCAGCCCTGAGCAGGCAATGACCATGTGATAGAACTCGATGGACTGTTTCTATGACTCAGGATGGTTCAGGCTGAGAAGAAATAAAGAAGAAGCATTTGGTTAGCAGGAAAAAGGTCTCAGCTGTGATAGATTTTTTTCTTTAGTGACAAGGAGCTTTATTACATCATAAAATAGTCTGCAGATGAGATGTGTCCAACTTGGTAAAGTAGCAACTCGTATACACACACATGATCATTGTGTAGAACATGGAGATGTAGACACACATGATCATTGCATAGAACATGGATTGTAGACACATGATCATTGTGTAGAACATGGAGATGTAAACACATGATCATTGTGTAGAACATGGAGATGTAGACACACGTGATCATTGTGTAGAACATGGAGATGTAATCATGATCATTGTGTAGAACATGGAGATGTAGACATGATCACTGTGTAGAACATGGAGATGTTGACACACATGATCATTGTGTAGAACATGGAGATGTAGACACATGATCATT